CAACCACGTGTCGTACTGACTACAAACTCCATCCAATTCCTGAAAAAACAATATCGATAATACAAACATTGTTTTAATTAACGTCTTGATTTATTCATACTCTTTTTATTGATTTAACGACGTCCATAAATCAAAAAAGAATACGCTTTCCTGGTATCAAACGATGCAGATTCCATTTTTTATTTCAAGGTGTTAAGTATGTCCAAAACATTTGTACATATAACGTGGTTGGCTATACCCCATGTCACTTGTGTTTAATCATTTTTTAATCCTGAATTATTAGTGTCAATGTTTTACCGTTTCGCTTCTGTCACAATCTTTTGTAAGACCAAAAGATTTATTTGCACATATTCTGACTGTCAATTACATCTGTCATCAGATTTGACACATGAAGTTTCATGTAATTGACCCGGCCTACATTTCCATACAAGTTCTAGATAAGCCAACAATGACTCTCACTGCCGGATTGCTTAGTTACTAGAAGTACGAATTCTGTAACATTACGAGCACTTTTGTACACAGCAGCGCCGAGGTTAAGCTACATATCAAGCAGAGAATGCCATTTTAGGTCAAGAGTTATGGATTACATATGATATACTGAGGTCACAACCTCTTCTATTAGCTCTAAAACAAAAGTACGTGAACTGAAAGAAGCGTCAATCATTGTACTTCAGGAAACGTGTCCAGAACAGGCTACACCTCTTGGAGTTTGAATCATTCAATCGTCCAGAAATACCGCTTGAAAGGACTGAAAACACGAAACTATTTTGTAGCATTGGTAAGACAACTTTTGGGGCATTTTGGCAGCGTCGAATTTCTTCCTATTTAATGGGTGGTCTTGAGTGTACGGACGCGGTTAAGTGGTTTAAAAGAACGCATTGACAAAAGTATACCATCAAGAGTATCTACTTGAGGTAAGTTTTTCTAATGATTTATGACGTTGAAATTCTGTAATTTTTCACTTTATATATACGAGTGTAAAATATAAACGTATCAAGAAGACGATGGATAAATGATCATTCCAAGGATTTTCGTGCAGAATGTTTCTAAATCTATGACTTCCAAGTGATTAGCATTCATAGAATCTCTATCAGATGTAACCTAAAATCCCTACGGGCTATTTTGAATGGATATCAGAATATTACTAAACATTACAACAAATCCCCCAAAGCTATAATTAATAAACATACGACTGAGTGAATGACTGGTCCAAGTAATATGAAATTAGTTGTACATTGATAATAGTTTTAAATAATTAAGCTGGGAAAGGTTTTGTTCTGAAGACATAGCTTTGAAGTCCATTATTCTCATCAGATCGCGCATTAGGAGGTGGTGAATTCTTCTTCACAATAAAAAAAATTGTATTAAAAAGTAATAATAACGTAATGACCCGGTTTTTTATTCAGCAATTTGATGCCATTGTTAGCTAGGGATATCTCTGTCACCATTTTTATATATGTCATATATTAAATCCCACGACTTTGGAGACATGTTCACTTCCGGAAAAAAACATACATTTCCGTCCAAATTTACAAATGTTTTTCCATCATAATGAATAATAATGGTAACATTCTTTTGGGGTTATTAGGATATTTTGTTGATGAGATCGGTTTATTTACCATGCGGATAAAAATAGGAAGGATCGTGTAATAATATTTTATTTACGTTAGTGTAGGGTTTGTATAAATATCGGAGAGAAATAATGCTAAATATAAAGTGTACGTGCACAGCAGTTTGCAGTTTGTGGTGCAGCCATTACCAGTGCTCTCACAAGAGTAAATAATTCAGTAGGAAAGCCACTTCGATGTGGTATAGAGCCGGGGAGGGAAGCCATTCCG